GCTCACACACCAGTCATACATACTCAAAATAGCTATTCATATGACCTATGTTACTCACTCAAATTTAAAATGGATGTTTTCATCTGACTATGTAATTGCAATCAACTCTCAAGGTCTTACCAAATTCAATGACCATCAGTCGATTATCTTGAAAACTTTTTTCGAAATTCGCATACTTGGCTTCAGGATCCACGAGGGCCGAAAAACATTTTTTCGCTTTCCGAGGAAAATATATATCTCATTCGTTTCCGGATAGTTCTCTGATTCTGATAGAATAGCAAATTCCAATCCAAAAAACCTCTCGAAAAATTATCCTGATCTGAAGTCTGTTGGTATTTGCTTGATAATCGATAGTGCATATTAATTTTCGTCCCAAAATACCGCTTTTATTTCACTTTTTTAGAACGATTTTGTAGAAAAGAAAAAGTTGTACGATATATGAAAAATCAGTTTGGGACTCTCTACAATGACTACACAATGTGATGCACTGACAAAATCGACCGCTTTTTACGTGTCATTTTTCGCTGGTTCTGTAAAATGTTGAGTAGATATAATCAAAAGACTGTTAATCTAATCGGTTGTCAAACTAGTCTATTTTGTTCAATTTTTAATGATCTATCCCCTGGTATATTGCAATACACTTTCTTCATGCTATAATTTTTGTGTAATGGAAAAAATGTTTTGGAAAAGACTCCTCATATTAAAGTCCAGAATATGCTATCGAAGGTGACATGCAGTATCATAAGAACGTTATGCATCTTGTTAGATTTTTCTCTTAACCCATAATCGAAGTGTAGTATTGATTACTTTTATTACGCGGCACATAATACGCACGATCATGTTTTCGAGATGAGATGATGATAATTATCACTTTCAATGAAATTGACATTTCTCCCGCGTAGGACAGCTCTTGTTTGGAGTCTTTGTTACTTTAACTATTTTTCTTTGAATCAAAATAAGTCGATGCCCATCGGTCACTGTTTCGCAGGTATATTCCATTCCAGTCATTGTGTCCTATCTGTTTACTATGGAAAACTTTTACCGAATTTGTGTCGGAGTCTTCGAGAAGTAAGAATTTGCTATCAGATGCTCATAATAGTGCTTGAACGAAGAAAGCGTGATTCTAACATAGTTATTGGGTTCCGAAAGGTATTCATGGTCTTGCAGTGAATATGTGTTTTAAACGAAAGGCAAACAAATCCAATTTCAACTGTTTAAGTTCATTTTTGCTTGTATACAAGTTTTTGTAGAAAAAATTACTATGTTGATAAGAAAAAACGATTGATCTCATTACTTTTCAGATTTTGAATGAAGTTGATGACAAAATATTTATACATATAATATTGCATGGCACAAAGGCAATCATCAACGGTCAATTTGAGCCGTTATATTAATGATGCTCTCCCCGAATTGTTAGATTCCCACAACAATCCGATGCTTGACTGCCATAAATTGTCTGTTCCATCATTAGAAGAGGCTGCTGCATCGCTTATTCCAATCGTTCCTGATATCACAAGTTATGTTGATAAAGCTAAATCAAATTGCAATCGAAATTTCTCTAGTTTAACTTGGGATGAATCTGCAGCAGTTTATCTTTATACGATGCCAAATAAGTTCTATGATTATTTCAACACAGCACTTCAAACGAAAGATCGGAATATAGTACGGCCATGGTTACCTTTCTTAAAGCTATTTTTAACTGCAATTGAAAAGCTGCCTTCCTGTCAGATTGACGTATGGCGAGGGATCTCAGTTGATCTCAGTTTGGAATCGATTGAAAACATAGAGAGAATGAGCTGGCGTGTAACATCGTGTACGAAAGATCTAAATGTTGTTCAACTATATCTAGGTGAAACTGGTACAGTTTTTCACATTCATTTAGCTAATGGTAAGGATGTTTCGACATTAGCGGCTATTTTTGACGAGCAAGAAGTCTTAATTATGCCGGGAACCCGCTTCCAAGTAAAAGGTAAACTGATTCGTTCCAATGATCGTATCTTACTCGTTGATATGCAGGAGCAATCGAACTTTTGGCAGAACACACCGATGTAAGTTCTCTCAAAGAATATTCGAAACTCTAATATAAACATGTCAGCAACCTGATCTTATAGGTTTTGTAAAACAAGTTATTTTTGAGTTCTACGAAACAGTCTGCAACTTTTTATCATTAAGACATACACGTGTTCGATAGTTATTTTAATTTTGAATCCTCGAATAGCGATAAAAAGTATGGGTTAAGTGGATATTTGAAGCTCGGTCAGGCCTAAAAGGAAGTTCATATGAAAGGGTTATAGAAAAATTTATATAACTCAATTATTTTGAGAAAGAAATGGCCTATTATTGTACGAATAGTTAAAAGAGGAAGCTTCTTTCGGCAATTTCAGCGAAAAGGAAAACTGCTTTAGTCAGATATTATAACTTCAGAACAGCATTTCCTATTTTTGAGACCTACACATCGTCCGATTTATTCTTGTCAGTTGTGCAATTAACGCTTAATACTTCTTATTATCATTCGATACCCATCTTCGACGTACTCGATGTTTCTCACATTTTTCATATCTTGGTACTGATCTGAGCATGTCAACCTTTTAGGAGACCATATATGGACAAAGTAGGAAAAGAATTAAATAAAATATTTACGGAACAATGGACGCCTCGACCATTGCGTACGATTTCTGATCCAAATGGTCATTGGAATGTGGTGTTGAAAGAAGAAGAATGCAATTATCCACTGATAGGACCAAAACAGAAGAGAGTTCATGCTCACGTTGCTGTTCGCGACAGAAAAGATAAGTTGCAAGTGAAAGAATTCGATGCATGTTCTAAATCGTGGCACCAAAATTCCGGTCAAATTTATCCAAAAATCAATGCTTGGGTGGAAGAGCATTCTGGAGTCAACCCTACACTATAAGTGCCATAAATAGTTTTATTGATTCATAGCCATTATACAAGAAAAGTTTTGAATGAAATAATTGTTTACCCGTCTAGAGTGTGGGTGGGTGCGGGTGTGGGTGTGGATGTGGATGTGGGTGTGGGTGTGGGTGTGGGTGTGGGTGTGGGTGTGGGTGTGGGTGTGGATGTGGGTGTAAGTGGGTATGAGTGTGGACATATTTCATCTTAAGTCACATTCATACCCACACCCACACCATCCACACACACACCCGCACCCACACTCACATCCACACCCACACCCACGCCTACACCCACACACCCACGCCATCGATAACGAAGGTTTCTTGAAGGATTATTTTAGAGCAACGGTCTCTGTATTTCGTGTTCGTTATCCTATCCAAAATTGACGGACAAAACACGACTGTCAATAATGCAACAATCATCACTTTGATAGATTGATCTTGCTATCTCGCGTTTTATTTCGATGATATTGTGATCTGAAGACTAACTTTTCTTTCATGATCACGCTAAAACAAAGGAATTTTACTCGGTACATCAAAATAGACAACTTCTCCCTGTTCTAGCATAAGAATACGATCACTGTTGGCTACTGTATTTAATCGGTGCGCAATCGT